CCCCCCCCCCCCAACCCCCAAAAAAAAACAAAAAAAAAAAAAAAAATTTACCTCAAATCCCAAATTATCCATATAGAGTTATATCCAAACGAATCCTGAATTTCCAAGCGAGTACCTACAAGTAAAATAATACCCAAATTGGTAAAATACGAAAACACATCTAACATATTCACTCCAATCCGAATGCATATATACAATTATACACACAAACCCATAAGCAGAATAATTGAATATAGCTCAGTGAGTAAATTTCAGCAGAGCAGCGTCAGTTTGGGTCCGGAATCAAAACGGGGTAAAAATTCGCGTACCTTATGTGAAACTGGTAATGCTCCAAATTTGAAATGGATCTTGAAATACAAACTGAAATTATACAGATTGATATATATAGTATTCGGATAGAGAGAATATGGAGTTGAAACCGTAAATTTTTTGAACTTCAGAGGGTTAATGAGAGAAATTCTATTTTTAGGTTTCCATTTTTTGGTCCGAATTGAATCAGATTTCCGGTGTGTAGGATATTTCGAAGATGTGAAATGACTGGTATGACCTTGGTATTCGTAGTATTAGCGACGGGGTGAGACAAACAGGAGTGTAAATGTAAGAGGAGAAAAGGATAAAATTAAAGTTAATTATGCTCCTGTTTGGCCTCCATTTTGTAGAGTTGAAAATAGATGAAATAATATTTTTTTGAAGAATGAGTTGTTGAAAAAGAAGGAAAAATTTTCGATTTACGTATAATATTATTTTATGAAAGATTGTATGGTTGAAAATATGAGAGAGAAAAATGTAATGTAATATAATGTAATAGGATCAAACGGGGGCTATATTACCACAACCACAAAATTTATTAAGGGCACCACAATTTTTAATTTTTCTCTTATTTACTTAAATAGCCTTAATTTAAACTACATAATTAGGGTTAATATACAATTAATTAATCACACCACAAACCTAAACCTAAACCTAATTCTACTTCTTCTTCTTCTTTTATAATTGCTAGAGATCATAAATAAACTAATTGCTTCTTTTTTTGAAAAATTAATTTACACTAATTATATGTTTGAAACCTAATTAAGAGTTGATCAACTCCCAAAAGCATGAAGAAAAACCATTCCTACAAAATTGTGAGAAAATAGGTATTAAGAAAA